AGCTTCTCAAAGCTCTTCATAACCATTGGAGTCACTGCAACTGGCCTGTAGTCACTGAGACTTGGCCAGAGGCACTATGACAGAGGGTTGAGACTGGCTAAATATACAAATGAAACCCCTGCCAGTTGGTATGCACATCCTTCAGCGCCCACTCTGTGGCCTAGTGGCATGAGTGTCCGCCCTGAGACTGGGAGATTGTGGGTTCAGGTCCACGGTCAGCTGCGTGACCCTCAGCATTAAGGAGCTCGATTTGAGGGATTGAATGACGAAATAGTTCCCGATCATGGCTGTGTCTGCAGCTCACTGCTACCCCAGGGCATGGGTCATGTGCGGAGAACAAATTTCACACACCAACAAGGTTAGTGGGAGTTTAACTTCAGCATCCACCCCGGGATGCCGTTAGGTACGACTGCCTTCTGAAGGGTTAACCGTCTGCAATGTGCGTCTCACCTCGCACTCCCCCACAGTACGTGGGTGGTGACCAACTGACTGTGGAGGGTCCACCTCAGACCAGGCAAAGAAGTAGGCACAGGGTATGTTAAATAATTACCGTTGGCATTATTGATGAGCCATTTATCTTAAATATGAGTTATTTTTGTCAGCCTGAATTTTTACCTGGAAATAAAAAGCTTTGTTTCAGTGAAACTCCGCCCATGCCTGCTCCAACAAAATGTGCCTACAACAGCGTTTAAGGCGAGTCGGTTGCTTTATTGGCTATGGTAGCTCAGTGGTTGAAGCATCCAGTCTAGCACTCTAACCACTGGACTTCCAAGTCTGTTAGATGACAACAGTGGCCTAAGCCACGTATCCTGTGCTGGCCAGGGGACACGGGTTTCAGACCAGAGGAGCCAGAGGAGCAGGGCCTGATGACGCTTTACAGGATTTTCAAAGTAAAACTCAAAATTTGCAGTTGAATCAGGAAAATGCAGCTATAAAATAGGTTTGGGTTTGGGTTTTTTTTTTCCCTGAGGAAATAACAATATCACATCGAAAAAAAAACTCAAAGGTGGATTTTCCATGATACGGCCCATTTAAGGGCTGTTTTTCTGATTGGAACATAGGCCGGGATTAACAATTGTGAGGGTGGACTCATCGACCGGAAGTAGATGGTTGTGACCAAGTCTCCCTATAATATAAGCAATACACCATGAAAATAAAGTAACATGTACTTTAATTTTGTGTAAGGAGCATTGGTTTGGTCTCTCAGAATATGTCTAATTATCTTTGAACTACTTTCAACATAAAACCAAATCTATCCTGAACAAAAACTCTTTCTTTGAACACATTTGCCAATATTGCCTGATAAATGACATCTTGCATTGTCTATATATATATATATATATATATATATATATATATATATATATGTATATATATATATATATATATATTTATATATATATTTATATTTATATATGTGTGTGTGCGTGTGTGTGTGTGTGTGTGTGTATATATATATATATATATATATATATATATATATATATATATATATATATATATATACATATACATATATATATATATATATATATATATATATATATATTTATATTTATATATGTGTGTGTGTGCGTGTGTGTGTGTGTGTGTATATATATATATATATATATATATATATATATATGCATTTTCGCTCACCACCATGGTCAAAATCATTAAATTGTCAGCTGTAACATTTTTGCACACTTTATAAATTTTTTGGTGACTTACACGTACTTTCAGACTGTAATGTGATCCACATTTAGAAAGAGATGTTTGGGCTGATTAACACCTACATGCAAACTCTGAAATAACATCTGTCTCAGTGGGAAAGTAAACATTTCATGATAATTTTAGGTTTATGATTTGTATTTTTCTGCATTAGTGTTTTTTCGGAGTTATTCTAAATCTAAACATGTCTTCTGTGAGGAGACAACTACACAACCACCCACCGTGGCCGTGGGCGAAGGCTGCCCCACAGGTTTGGTAAATGAAGTGCCAGAGCACGGCTGGTCATGCTTCGTCTCAGCACAGACACACAGTGACACACGGGATATGCTTGAGTTCATCTCAGGAAGGCCTGGACTACGTGGAACCTCAGCGAGAAAAACAACCTGGTTCCCAGCAAAAATATTTACAACACAACTGCACCAAACTGGCGGTAATTATCCAAATTGATGATGGGCAGCCGGCACGATGCATCATGTGGATGGCAACGGGCTCGTGTAACATGCAAAGCGAAAAAGAAAATATCCACAAGTACTGTTGTTTGCTTTTCTGGTGAGGATAGGTGGACAGACTTGCACACAGCTCACAATAAACAGGACGGCTTGTGAGAGCCTGTCCATGTCCTTGTGCATGGCATACATAGAATACGATAAATCACAGCATCAGAACAGGGATGGCTTCATGACTTAATTCACTCTACATTTCCAACCACGAGGCAGTTTTTGATTAGGGCTGTAAATCTCCATCATCATGTAGATAAATGTTTGATCCATACGGTTTCCCATAAGCTACTGCTGATTCGTTTACACAAACTTCACTAAACACCACCTGTTCAGTCAAAAAAATGCTGTTACAGGATCAAGCCTTTCCTGAGTCTTTCTTTGAATCTCTTCTGTAAAGCTTGAGAATGTGACTGACATGCTGAGAAGACTTTCTGACTCTTTAGAAGACATTTATATTCACTGACCAGTCTATATGGTGAACCTGTTCAGTTGCTTGTTAATCACTCACTCGCATGGCAGCAAATTCCTTCAGACATCTGATTGTGTTGAAGAAGGTTTGCTGAGCACCAGAACTGATAAGAAACGATTTATAGTAAAAGTAACCCACTAGGATCCTTGACAACATGTCAACTGAATCCTAAAGAACATCAGCGTTTGAAAGAAAAGTTGGATTAATTCTACTGAAATGATCTGTGTAATGCAAATTGCACCACTTGTGGAAAAGCAGCAGATCCACTCAGAGCCCGTCCCGGATGACTGATATTCTCACCCTATCTCAAAGGGAGAGCCCAGCCACTCTGCGGAGAAGACTCATCTCATCTGCTTGCATTCCCGTTCTTATTATTTTGGTCACTACCTAAAGCTTGTGACCATAGATAAGGGTAGGGACATAGATCGACCGGTAAATTGAGAGCTTCGCCTTCCTGCTCAGCTCTCTTTTCACCTCAACTGATCGGTACAACGCCCACATTACTGCAGACCCAGCATCAATCCACCTATTGAACTCGTGCTCCATATGTCCCTCACTTGTGAACGAGACCCTGCCTGGAGAAGGCCTTCTACCCTTTTCTGACTCAAGACCGTGGTCTCTGAGGTGCTTCCAGCTGCTTCACACTTGGCTGCTACCCGCTCCAACGAAAGCTGGAGATCATGATCTGACCATCAAATGGACCCTCCACTCTAGAACCCTTGAATTTGCGAAGGAGGCTCATGAGAGTGAACCCCCTGCCGTTCGAACACAACCTGTAGTCACCCTTTATAAATAGGGGGACCACCACCCCAGTCCATTAATCCAGTGGAACGGCTCCTGATGTCCACTTGATATTGCAGACCAGTGACAACCAACACAGCCCCACAACATCCAGAGTCTTGAGGAACTTTAAGAAGATCTCATCCACTCCTTGCCACCTAGGGGCTTTTTAACCACCTCAGTGACCTCAACCCCAGAGATTAGAGAGCTCACCCTAAAATCCTCAGAATCTGCTTCATCACTAACAGACATGGCAGTCGGATGGAGGAGGTTTTCAAATCTCCTAAACCTGATAGGACTCTTTATTCAGCTTGACAGCACCCACCACTTCCACCACCACAAGGTTGCTGCCACAACAGGCACCAACAACCCTTTGGCCACAGCTCCAGTTGGCCACCTCAACACTGGAGGCATGGGACATGGCCCATTCCGAATCGATGTTCCGCGCCTCCTCTGGAATACATTTGAAGTTCTGTCAGAGGTGGGAATTGGAGACTCCGTCAGATGTTCCCAGCAGACCCTCCAACACGTTCTCACACCGGAAGCATAGAAAAATGACGATGGGTGACTGTTTGTTTCTGACGCATTGGGAGTCCCAAAGTGTTGGGAGACGACGTGCTGTGCCAGAGCTTTGGATTCCGACGCCCGCGGTAAAATGCTCATTTAACCATTTAACCTCTAACATCTTGCTATTAAACCTTCCCCTCACCCGCATCCTAACCTTAACCTAGTTTCTCATTCTAAGCTTCTCGTTACTGGGTTGGAGTGGGACGTTACACTAAGTTTTTTGCGTGTGAAAAGGGTTAAGGTTAGGATGGGGGTGAGGGGAAGGTTAAATAGAAAGAGGGTAAAGGTCACAATTTGATGAAATCTCAGTTTTACCACGGCAGTCCAAAACGACGCTCTGGCACAGCGCGTCGCCTCCCGATGCTCTGGGGGGCTCCTAAGGAATCGGAAACAAACGATTGGTTACCCATCGTCATTTTTTGGCACTTCAGGTGTGAGAATGTTGGCTGGATGCTTACAACACGTTTGGGCCTACCATGTCGCACCGGTATCCTCCCCCACCATCAAAGCCAACTCACCACCAGGTAGTGGTCAGTTGACAGTGACACCGCTCTTCACCTGAGCGTCCAGGAATTGTGGCCACAGATCAGATGACACGACACAAAATTGATCATCGTATTGTGGTCCAAGGTATCCTGGTGCCAAGAGCACATATGAACACCTTAATGCTTCAACATGGTGCTCATTATGGACAATCAATGATGAGCACAGAAGTCTAATAAAAACATGAAATAAAAACAAGATCAGTAGGCCATTCCCCAGAACGAGGATGTCTCCGGGAGGAGTGCGCTCCAGTACCCCCTTAAAGGACTCCATAAAGGATGGGTAGTCTGCAGTTTGGTGCACAAGCACAAGCAACAATGAGGGCCCGCCCACCAACATGTAGGGGGAGGAAGGCTATCCTCTTGCTCACCAGGGCAACGTACAGGCACCAAGATGGGGTGCAACATGTATGCCCACCCCTGCTTGGCACCTCTCAGTGGGGACAACTCCAGAGTGGTAGAGCGCCCAGTCCCTCTCAGGGAAATGGTTTTACTCATATTGTTACAAACACAAACATCTTGCTGGTGCTGGTGATATTTATAGAACTCTGTAAATAATTGACAGCAGCGTAAAGGTTTACAAAATAATTTTGCCCATGGTGCCTTTAAATTTAGGAGATACGAATAAGACAACAATGATTATTAATTAATTGCATTTTCTTTTTATTTAGCAGCTGCCTCTTTTACTCACACATCCCAACAACTAAATGCAATGCTTTATGTCACCTCCTGGATGTGGAGTTCCATGTCCGGGAGAACCAGACAGAGAAATTGAATGAAATTTGAAGCAAAACTTTATGGTTTCCTTCCAACCTGGAGTCATGGAGTCTGCAAACCTGCTTCGCCACCAACATTTCCACGTTGTGTTGCTCAAGCCTCACAGGCAGCTTTATTTGTCAAGAACTCTGAGTGATGCATGACTTATTTAGAGGCTGACGTGGTGGTGTCAGAGGATACGGCACTATGAAATCATTTCAGCATTACACTGTCAAGGGTGTGGAATTTTCCTGTCTCTTTCATGTCAGCGCGGAGGAGTTCCAAGGGAACAAAAACGAAAACTGGTATTTATCCGCAATGTACAAAATGACTCAAAATATCTAGACTTGCCACAATGATTCTGCAGCCTTGAGTGTGTGTGTGTGTGTGTGTGTGTGTGTGTGTGTGTGTTGGGTTATTATCGGACTCATTGAAAGTTTCCCTGTGTCATGAAAATGATATTGAGACTTCTCCTCATTATGCCTCCGCATTCCCCCTGCCTTGTTTTCTCCCTCCCTCATTATTCTTACAAAAACACATAAAACAGAGAAGTATACACAGAATCCCCGCGACACAATGAGCCGGGGGATACCCCTTAACCGTTCTAACACGTCTCAAATTCAAATGTCTACTGACATTCCAGTTCCCAAGTCCTCAGCTCGGGTGTCAGAAAATAACAGTTTAGGCCGCGCTCTCCCCGGCATTATTCTGGGTTTTGAAAGGTAAACAGAATGAGGAGCAGGTGGTTGTGGGGGATTTTGCAGAGGCTTGGCTGTAATGTCTGGTGGCAATTAGGTGTAATACAGGATGTCAAAGCCCACAGCCACTGGCCTCAGATATCTGCTGCCTAATGTTAGCTTTACAGATTCACTTTGGCATTTGGCTTCAGCTGCAAAGCCCAGGGCCAAATTAGTGCAAACTATTACCTCCTTTCCTTTGTGGCCAAGGGAAAAGGATGACTTTTTTGCAGAACATAAAACAATTTGGTGAGATTTTGCTCTTCTCGTAACTTGTTTGGAAGCATAAGAGGGTGTTCTTTTTGAACAAACACTTCAAAGGAATGTGGAGGGAAGTATTTTTCTGAGGCATTATCTAAACTCCAGTGAGCTGAGTGTGGAGTGAGGCCTTGTGGGACGGTCAGTAAATCTCCAGCTAAGGGAGTGGTGGTGCTTGTGCAGTAACCAAATCTGTGATATCCTTAGGAAGGCTGCGATAGTCGGAGCTACTCAATGAAGCACAGATGGCGATGGGTGGAATACACAATTAGAACGTCCTTGAGAAGTGCCGAGCTGGGCGACAAAGTGCTGAAAGAGAAAAGGATGTTGGGATGTTGGAGAGAGGAGGTGAAACTAAATAGTCTGCAAGCCATTGATCAGTTTATGAAACATCTGGAATACCTGGATATAGCTTCTGTTCAGTCGAACTGGTGCGCGTAGAAAAACCCGTATGCTGCTGCAGCTGGTGACAAGTTCCAACAATCAGGAGGGGAAAAAAAAACTCCCTATGGATGGCATTAGAGCATGTGTGTTAATGAGACCACGTTCAGTCAGTATGATCCTGGCAAAACAATTTACCAAACATAACTTGAGCTCTTTTTTGTTGAAATTTGATGATATTTTCTGTCAGTAATGCAAGGATTAACCAAAGACTCTACGGGAGCCAAGAGGCCTAAGCAGAGTGTACGGGCAAAGAAAACAGCAACATTGGTGCATGGGGAAATATCCTATGCAACTCAAGTGTTGAGTTCTAGGTTGCATCTAGACTTGAGTTTAGTCTTCGGATCGGACGGAAGTGCACAGATGCATGAGAACATTTAGTTGCAGCTTTCATTTGTTTTGGGAGTGTTTTTGGGGTTGCCCTAACCCCCTTTAGCAGGTGCTTTTAATGGGGCAAACCCAGAAACTGCTGGAGGGTTTTTCTGTGCTCTCTGACATGGGAGCACCTTGAGATTACTCAACCTTTTACTTTTGCAGCCCTACCTTCAAGAAGAAGTGTGAAAAGGCAGTACCTTGTGATGCAACAGGAGAAAACATGATGTTCCACATGGTGCAGGAGCTGTTCTGGTCCTATGTGGGACAGAACTAGTCCCTTCACTCTGGAACTTGGCATTTATTCTTCATGAAAACCTGTGCAACACACCAAAGGAAACAGAAGGTCTCAAACCCCATTATCATAACCCTCTTGATCTCATCATGTTACTGATCAGGATTTTTTTTTTTTGGGACAATAAATCTGTCATAAAACTGACAATTATCCTAAACAAAGTGACCAATCCAATGTTGAAGAAAGACATCCTTCTCCATGTAGGACTGCATGAGTCATGCTGAATACAACACACTCACCAAACCTTTCCTGAATAAATAACGGTCTAGAAGAAAAATCGTCCGGGCTATGTAAGCAGTGAATCATACCTAAAAACTCAACTCCCTGATATAAATAGTCCGACCACAATATTCATCAATTTCCATAGATCCTATAAACCATTGCCTGGAGGAAAACAGTCATCACAGAGGCGTCTGTAACTCAGGAAGTGTTGTTTTATTAAATCTGACAGCCAAACAGGGGTTAAGCTGTAGCCCACACCCTCATTCTCATCAATATCACAGCAAAAATGTCATCTCTCATGACGTGGGAGGGAAAAGCTTCGTTTATGACTTCCATTTGAACAGGCAAGCAAATACTTTGTAAAATAGTACGTTCACTCTTTCATAAAACAGTGCGTCCAGGTCTTTTACTGCCAGTTTGCAGTTACATTCTTTTCTCTAGGAATGAGCTGTTCCCTATGTCAGGTAAGGAAAATCTAGAGGTCCATGCTGTCTCCATTTACTGGTGGCTCTTAGGCATTCTGTGGCCTCAGACAGATGGCAATCTGATCTCAAATCAACAACGCTGTAAATCCATACATACGGTCTGGCCAGACAGCCAGCGGCAGCACAACAAGACCACCAACCCCAAAACCGTCACGGGTTACAGCGCAAAAATTTGCAGAATGTTCTGTTTGGCATCAAAGAGTCCTGGAATGTTCAGGACGCATCTCGAACCACAGAAGGAAGCTCCACATCGATGTTCTTCCTTTCTTCTGCGTGTAGAGTTTGGCTCGTGTCCTCTCACGTGACTCACCCCACCCCAGAGCGTGTGACGTGAAATGGTGTCGTAGGGCACGTTTACTGACTCATGCATGCCGCTGGTTAAAGGTGCACTATGTAAGAAAATGGTGAAAATTTTAAAGTGAGAAAATCCCAAAATAGTCTTGATGTTTCAGTCATTTTGGAAGGAAGGTTATACTGAAACATATTTCATATCCAGCTGGCTGCGGGATTGTCTGGTTTTCTCCTTTCAAAACAAAGGACGGAGGGTCGTAACTGTTTACCATCAGTGAGAGTGGGGTTGCCGTGTCGCCTGCGAGCTAATACTGCAGCGTAGACAACTGTGCAGGCCAAAAATCACAGAGTTGTTTCAAGTGGTTGCAGTAACCAGATTTTACCCCAACATGCATTTGTTTTACTTCATTTCTACATAATGCACCTTTGAGGTGCAGAATATCTGGTTGGTTGTCTTTCTACGCGTCTTTGAGCGATAAACTCTGATTACAGGTCACCTGTTCCCCATTGAACACAATCATGTGGCGTTTACTCTGAACAGACACTGTTCATTATTGCAAACATGTGTGCTCCGAAAGGAGGGAAATGTGTGTGTGTGTGTGTGTGTGTGTGTGTGTGTGTGTGTGTGTGTGTGTGTGTGTGTGTGTGTGTGTGTGTGTGTGTGTGTGTGTGTGTGTGTGTGTGACTGTAGAGGTCAAAAAGTTTGCAAAATTGAGACGGATGGAGATGAAAGGATGAAGATGTCTCAGGACCAAGAGGCTATTTTCTAATAGCAGCGTGTTTCTCGTGCTGCTGACAGCAAGGCCGTAACCTTCGTATTTCCGGCCATGGGCAGAGTTTTCAAAGGACGACATCCCACGCCTGCAAACATTCACCTCTTAACCCTTAAAGGCCCACTGCATCGTATGTGATACACACATTTCTAAGTTTGTAGCAGCTGTATCTCTTAGGCAAGATTAACATTTTCCAAAACAATCTGCAGTCTTAAATCTTTTAAAAGTTTTCTGCCTGCTCATGGATTATTTATCTACTTAAGTGTCAAGTGGGATTTTTATTTAGTATAATTATTGTTGCATTATTATAGAATTACTTGATGAATTTAATATAAAAGTTATTAATTGTTATATTATCATTACCAATCAAATGTTTAAAATTTTAATAAATTTGAGTCTTTTGAATATTATTTAATGTGTTGGGTCTTAAAGGTTAGATTTGCTCATAATACACTGTCATACCAAGTATTTATTATTGTTTTGTTCCAGACAATCTGCATTTACAACTCAGGTTACAAACCACCTCACGATTTAAAAGAAACTAAATCAATGCTTAAATTAAGGACCTAGATTTGGAGGGTTTGGAATCAAAACAGGCAAGGAGCCTTTGCTATTAGCTGGTCAGTTCATACGCTAGGTCCAGTCCAGGCTTTGGAAGGGAAAGGAAGTAATAAGGTCCATTAATTTCTCAAATTAGAAGCTGTAAAAACTAAATTTATCGACTTTGCGATCAACTATAAAAGTTGCCATTTACTGTGGTTTGTTGTGTGAACTTCAAGTGAATTTTGTTATTAAGAGTCGAATAATATAAAAAAATCTAAAAGTTTATGATTGGGTGAAATTATGATCGTACCAAAAACAAGCTCAAACAAACTACAGTCCTGCTTTGATGAAAGGACATCTCCTACAGTGAGACATGTCAAGACGTCCTGTTTTCAGTGGTAATACACTTTGACTGTTATTATGTCTTGCTTGTCTAACATTTCTGTCATTTATCTATCGTATGCACTAGGGATGAGCCGGATACTCGTTTCAGATGAGTATCCGGTGTGGATAAAGCATTTTTGACGAGTACGAGCATGAAACGAGTAAACCTCGTAAATATCTGTAATCGTGCTGAAGGAAAATCCTCATTGGGTAACTGACTGTCTTCACGCTCTGTGATTGGCCAGTCACATAGAGCGCCCGCCCCTCCCTACACACAAAACTCTCTAGCCGGCCGGTGTTCTGGGAATTTCTCCTACCCCGTAAACCGTCCTACCCCTTGTTACTGAGCATGTGCGCGCATGCGCACAACACAAAAAGGGAATGCTACTCCGCTGTCATATTTGCAGGAAAATAGATAAGTAGTAAGTATTAGTACTGTTTATTGACGTTGATACTTGATCTTTTTTGGTTAGGGTTAGAGTTATGGTTAGGGTTTGTGTCATGTAAAACACCGTAAAATTATCCTACGGGTAGGACGTTTTGCCAAAGTAGGATGTTTTCTCAGAACACCGGGAGTGCAGTCCGGCCGGCTCATCCACACACACACACAGACAGTAACGGATCTTGCTGTGATTGCTTCACTGCTGCTCACGTTTCTTCAGTTTTCCCTAGGTTTTCTTCAGCTCACCTCTTTTTCAGTTGAATATTTAAAGTTACTTTTTTCATAACTTACATGGTGCATTTGACAAGCCAGAGCTGACGTGCTGCATCAGTCACTCACTATCTCCGCCCCGGTCGGGTTTTTTATTTTTATTTTTTTTACTCCATCTCCCTCCCTCTCACCCTCTCTATCTCTCTCAGACACACACACCTTAATCAACATTGTTTTGTTTAACTTTGTGTGGGGCCAAATGCCAAGAACGTTAAGAAAAAAATCTGTTTAATCAAATTAAAATGAAAAAATATACATAAAGTTGTGTCTGGTTCTAGTATTTCATATTTCCTAGTTCCTACTGCATGAGTTCAGATGTATTAATCCATGCACTTAAATATTAATGTTCTGATTTTATTGAAACACTTGTTCTGTAATAGTTTCTTTACTATTGTGATCAAAAATATTTAATCTCTATTCTGAGGCTGCTCTGTAAATAGTTTTCAAATAAACAATACTCATAGCAACTTCTGATCAATCCATATCAATTTCAGACTTAAAATAATATATTGATGTAAACCACACCCACTTCCGGTTAAACCACCCCCACTTCCGGGTTATGCCACGCCCATTCCGAGTACAGATACAGATAGTGGTGTACTCGCTCATCCCCAGTATGCACCTTTCTTCTAGAACTGGTTGTGAGTTGTGTTTCATATTTTATGTAGACCTATAATCATTCTAAAAATTAACAGTGTTTTTGTTCTTCTGGTCTTCTGCCTTTCTGGGTTTGGGTCACAAGAGCCTACTCAGTGACTTCAATCACCTCCTCCAGTAGGACCTAAAGGTGTTCTCCATATGTAGTCCCTCCAGCAGGTCCTAGGTTTGTTCCAGGATCTCCAGAAATGACCATTTGGGAAAAAGAAAACAGATTACAGGATCTGGAGGGTTACTGTTGGCACCAACCCCGGGTTTGGGGCTCATGTGCATCTGGTCATAGGGACTTTGAAAGCTGGGACCTGAGCTTCTGTGGAGGGAGCTAGTGTTATGTGTGGACACGATAGCAAACCAAGCTGGTCCAAACAGTAATTACAAAAAGTGACAACTCATTTTTTGAACATGTGCATTAAGCAACACATGACCAAGAAACTAGGTTGGACATATGGCAGCAGTAGACCACGAAGGATTAGAATTTGTTCACAATCTTCCAAAACAGAGGAAATGTTGTATCGATAAGGGATGTGAAATCCCTCATAAAATTACACAACAGTCACGCTAAAAGTCGTTAACATTGTTCTTGTGTGCTGTCTTTTAATTCGGATTGGATTATTTGGTGAATAATTTCCCCTATTAATATAAATAATTGAGACTTTATTGATTCCTGCGTGTAAAGTATGCTCTGCGCTTGACCCATCGGTGGAGAGCAGTGGGCTACTATCTGGAAAGCCCTGCAGCTGCCCTGATTAATGTAAAAATGTGTTTTAACAATTTGGCAACATGCATTGTAAAGCACCTTGGAGGGTTGTAGGACGCTAGAAGGCACTATATAAATACAAGCAATTGACCATTTATTTACTTTTTCTTCTGAACACAGTATTAGCTATAGCTGTGTCTACGGAAGCAATTCCTTCCTCGACCCCTAAGACCGGAGGTGAGAAGCTGTGGGTTTGGACCAAAGGGGCAACCTTTGTCTCAAATATGTGATGTCAACCAGGAAGTGAAAACAATTGTTGTTCTCACTCAACTGCTAGGTGTTGGCTCCAAAACAGAGAACTCTCATTGTCTTCCATGTAAAAATACCAACTTCAAAGAAGAAAGAAATATGTTCAAAAAACCATTTTAGGTGTAATTGGTCAGGTTTACAGTCATGACAACTCTGAAGGGACGGATTTTTTTTAACTTTTCCATTTATGTGTAAGTAAATGTTTAATATTATGAATAATTAGATTTAACTGACATTGACTAACATTGTGTGAGCATTAGAGCTAACGCTAGCGGCTAGCCCAGGGAGGCCTCAGTCTGGGACTCACGTTAATAGATGTTTGTTTATTTTGGCTCTGAACTTTAGCTGTGTCCTCTTTGTGTTCGTGTTTGGATGCAAATCATCAAAATATTGGACAAAGATGGCAAGCTGTGGTGTTGATCTCTCTAAGACCGCGGTACTCAATAGGCGGGCCCCTCTTTGTGGCCTAGAACCACTCGTACCTTGTCACCTTGCAACCTTGATGGCACTAAACATAAATTAACCCTTTATAGGGCTAACATCTATATTTAGACTATTCCACTCACATTATAAATGATGTTGGTGTCCATTTTCAGGAATTCTTAGAATTACGGGATTTCACCCAAACAATCATCAGAGATCCAGCTTTTCACAGTTTGTGCCATGACTCCATTCCACCAATCACTGTGGGGCTATAACACATCAAATATCGGTGTGTGTGATATAGTCTGTATTTTTGAACAGTGATATGTTCTTAAATTAGCTAGATTATTTTAAAGTCCTTTATAATTATCTTACCAGAACAGGGCCGACGTCCATATTTGAGCACTCCATTTTCTCTAATTTTCTGCATTTAAAGAAAAATATTTTTGAATATTGTAACAACAGAAATAC